CACACACACACACACACACACACACTCACACACACACACACACACACACACACACACACACACACACTTGATTTCCTCTGTCAATCATTCATCGGTTTTCTGACTATTATTCCTCAAGTCTTTCCTCTAAAGAAAGAAAACAACCACTAATACAAGCACAAATGTGTGAGACGTGTAGCGATACAAGACGAGATTAAGAGAAACAGATAAAGGCGAAACAGAAGCAATCAGATAGAACGATAGATAGAACGATAGAACGATAGAACGATAGATAGATAGATAGATAGACAGATAGATAGATAGATAGATACCTGTAGGGAGGGCAGGGCAGCAGCAGGTGTGTTGTCGGCTCTCAGGAACACTTGCTGTCTGCGTCTGAAACACAAACCACAAGCATCAGAATCTGCTGCAGCGTCCATCCACTTCTGTCCAACTCTAGATGAAACTATCTGTCTCTCTCACACACACACACACACACACACAGTTCTGAATCTTCACTTTCTCCTGTCCCGTGTGTGTGTGTGTGTGTGTGTGTGTCATGCAGCAGCAGCAGCGAGTGCTTACAGGTCTCTTCCTCGCTTCCTCTCATGAGCGTTCATGTCATTCCCTCCTGTGTGTCACAGCTCACTCACACTCACACACACACACACACACACACTCGTGTCGAGTCTCACGGAGCTGTGCGCTCGACCCTCTCTCTCTATCTCTGTCTCTCTCTCCCTCTCTCTTGTCTCTCTCTCTCTCCTCCCTCTCTCTCTATCTCTGTCTCTCTCCTCCCTCTCTCTCTATCTCTGTCTCTCTCTCTCTCCTCCCTCTCTCTCTATCTCTGTCTCTCTCCTCCCTCTCTCTCTATCTCTGTCTCTCTCCCCTCCCTCCCTCTCTCTCTCTCTGTCTCTCTCCTCCCTCTCTCTATCTCTCTCTCTCTCCTCCCTCTCTCTATCGCTCTCTCCCTCTCTCTCTATCTCTCTCTCTCTCTCCCTCTATCTCTCTCTCTCCTCCCTCTCTCTATCTCTATCTCTCTCTCTCCTCTCTCTCCTCCCTCTCTCTATCTCTATCTCTCCTCCCTCTCTCTATCCTATCTCTCCTCCCTCTCTCTATCTCTATCTCTCCTCCCTCTCTCTATCCTATCTCTCCTCCCTCTCTCTATCTCTATCTCTCCTCCCTCTCTCTATCTCTCTCTCTATCCTCTCTCTCCTCCCTCTCTCTCTCTCTCTCTCTATTGACTGGTGAAGCTTCTGATCCTGATGCTCATCAGGGCCCTAAAACCCTCCATGTTTCTCTCAGCCTATTTATATATATATATTAATAACTTGCATAAAAATGTAACACCAACATTTCTATGCAATTTGTCACATTACTTTAAAGAATTCACCAGAAAGCTATTTGCCATTCAAATTTTACACTTTGCTATAGCACAATAATTACAGAGAAATTAAAAGCAATAAACAACATTTGTTTTGTACAGGGATGTAGATGTTCTAAGAAATTTACACTAAAAATGTAGTTTTAAAGTATATTATTACTAAATATTTTTACACAATTCTAAGTTAATAAATCCAGCTTTCACTGCTTACAACTGAATTCAGACCTGTGAGTAAAACACACATAAATCCCAGGTTATTATGATTATTTTATTAATTTTACGAGCCAGTCAAATTACACTCATAACTGAAATCTACCATCCATTTCAGTGTAAATTCTATTCTGGATACAACACAGTGCTGAAGACAAGCTTTGATGACCGGTCTATAAACAACTATATTTAAAAATAAAAAAATGAAAAAAAACTTTGATGATTTTAACCAATTTCAGGTTTCAAGTTTCACATTTTATGAGTCATTGAACCCCACATTATGATTGAAACTGTCATTTTTTCATTGATTAAATTAAAAAATATTAGATATTTTTTACCATAATTTAAGTAAAGAAGATTGAATGATGTCACCGTTGTCAGAAGATTCTAAAATTATTTTTATTTTATTTTATTTTTCAATTTTTTAACAGGCCTGAAGTTTATTTATTTATTTCTTAAGCCACAGAATAAAATAAATAAAAAAGGCAATTGCATTTTTTTTCTCACACATCTGAGTTATCGTCTCACAATTCGGACAATTTTTCCCTGAATTCTGATTTTATATCTCACAATTGTTTTTTTTTTGGTTGCCATGGAATAGAAAATAAAAATAAAGCAACTATTGTCTATATAGTCAAAGATGTATATTTTTACAAAAATACGGATTAAGAATGTGATACGAGTACTCATTATGATTAGATCTAAGTCTGAAATGATTTACAAAATTAAACTGTCCGTACAGGAGGCATGAGTTGATTTAGTAGTGGACAATTTTAGAAAAAAGCACAAAAAGTAAGCATAATTCTGTTCAGGGCTTTAATATGTTCTCAGAGATGAAAGGGCTTTGTAGTGTTTCTCCTGTTCATCTTTCTGACTTTTATCTGGCATGAATCAGAGAAAATGATCACAAAATGCGTATTGATCAAAGGCCCCGATAAACAAGCCATGATTACAAGGAACAAAACACTGAACCTGATGAAGAATTGCTCTGTAGCCTTCACGTGACTCGAGTGTTTGATGAACATCACTCATGTGTGCGTCTCCTCAGATGATTTCTGGTGTGTTTTAGAGCTGTTTGTTGATGTCTGAGGAGACTTTAACTGCAGCTCCAGCAGACAGATTCACGGAGTTAATAACGGCAGAAAGAAATCACTCAAGCAGCAATGAAAACGCTGTCGTCATGTCAATCTAAAGCCGTATCAATGCAAAAAATATCTATATATATTTTCTTAATCCATACTACTTTTTCTCATTTTAAGCATTAAATAATATGCCAACAGAGTAAGAAAATCATAATTTAGATGCATCTGGTTTCAAGAAAGTTTATTTATTTGACTGAATTATTAACTTTTACCTTTTTTTTTTTTGCAGTGAAATATATGACTTTTAAAAAATATAAATATTTTCTTAATTAATATAAATTTTGTTCTTGTTTTAAGCATAAAATAATTTACCAATGAAAAATTATTAATCATTTTAATAATTAATAATAATAATTTGCCAAAGAATAAATAAAAAAGGCAATTGCATTTTTTTTCTCACACATCTGAGTTATCGTCTCACAATTCGGACAATTTTTCCCTGAATTCTGATTTTATATCTCACAATTGTTTTTTTTTTGGTTGCCATGGAATAGAAAATAAAAATAAAGCAACTATTGTCTATATAGTCAAAGATGTATATTTTTACAAAAATACGGATTAAGAATGTGATACGAGTACTCATTATGATTAGATCTAAGTCTGAAATGATTTACAAAATTAAACTGTCCGTACAGGAGGCATGAGTTGATTTAGTAGTGGACAATTTTAGAAAAAAGCACAAAAAGTAAGCATAATTCTGTTCAGGGCTTTAATATGTTCTCAGAGATGAAAGGGCTTTGTAGTGTTTCTCCTGTTCATCTTTCTGACTTTTATCTGGCATGAATCAGAGAAAATGATCACAAAATGCGTATTGATCAAAGGCCCCGATAAACAAGCCATGATTACAAGGAACAAAACACTGAACCTGATGAAGAATTGCTCTGTAGCCTTCACGTGACTCGAGTGTTTGATGAACATCACTCATGTGTGCGTCTCCTCAGATGATTTCTGGTGTGTTTTAGAGCTGTTTGTTGATGTCTGAGGAGACTTTAACTGCAGCTCCAGCAGACAGATTCACGGAGTTAATAACGGCAGAAAGAAATCACTCAAGCAGCAATGAAAACGCTGTCGTCATGTCAATCTAAAGCCGTATCAATGCAAAAAATATCTATATATATTTTCTTAATCCATACTACTTTTTCTCATTTTAAGCATTAAATAATATGCCAACAGAGTAAGAAAATCATAATTTAGATGCATCTGGTTTCAAGAAAGTTTATTTATTTGACTGAATTATTAACTTTTACCTTTTTTTTTTTTGCAGTGAAATATATGACTTTTAAAAAATATAAATATTTTCTTAATTAATATAAATTTTGTTCTTGTTTTAAGCATAAAATAATTTACCAATGAAAAATTATTAATCATTTTAATAATTAATAATAATAATTTGCCAAAGAAAACATAACTTAAATTTTTTGAATATTTCTCAATTTTTCTAAAAAAAGAGTTTCATTTATTTTATTGAATTAAAAAACAAAAAAGAAAGAAAAAAATTTTTTTTGCAATGAAATGACTGAAAAAAAAAATTTTCTTAAATCAACAGCACTTTTTTCTTCTAAGCATACATTTATTTGCCTTAACAAAAAAACTTAACATTAAGCAAATGTATATATATATATATATATATATATATATATATATATAAATGTATTTGGGGTTATAATATATAATATAATGTGTTTAAGGGTTAATTCAGAATAATTGGTACATTTTTCCCATTCATCTCAATAGCAAAAAGTGTCCAAATTTACATGAATTCACCCCTACATATTACATACAATATATTTTCCATACAAGAATGTTTGGCTAAACTATCCCTTTAAAATCACCATAATATTTTCAGCTTCTATTTGACAGACACACCGAGACCCAGTGTGTTAGTGACACAGACACGATCAATGACTCCCTGCGGGGTTCAATTTCATTACGACCGACTCGCTCAGATACAGAAAACCCACCAGCACTAATTATTCTGACACTTAAAAAAATCAAATGTACATCTAAAATCAAATGTATTTATGACCTGCCAATACCTGTCACACAGATACTGAGTAAAACACGTTTGTGTGTGTGTGTGTGTGAGAAACTTTTGAGTGGCCATCAGTCAGATGGCATATAGATCAATGTTCCACAATGATCCGTCTTTACAGGCTTACAGCACTCAAGAGAATAACACACACACACTCATTCATGTCACTACCTGATCAGAACGCCAGAGCAGTTTTGTTTAACACAGTTTAATCAAGACTGTGCGTTCAAAGAAAAGGAACAGTAACCAGTAATTACAATAGCGCATTACCCTCAGGAACACACACACACACACACACACACACACACACACGTATGCATGCACAAACATGCATGTAAGCAAATATAGACACGTTCTGAGCAAACTAAACCACAAATGCAGGAGGAAAGATAGAAAGGGAATTTTACCAGCTGGGTGGCCTCAACAATAAACACACAAACACACACACACACATTCACAAACACACACACACATGCACAAACACACACTCTCTCACACAAACACACACTATCACTCACACACTCACACACACATGCATAAACACACACACACATGCATGCATAAACACACACACGCATTCACAAACACACGCTCAAACACACACATGCACAAATGCACACAAACACACACACGCATGCACAAACACACACTCTCTCACACAAACACGCTATCACTCACTCACACACTCACTCACACACACACACACACACACACACATGCATGCATAAACACACACACACGCATTCACAAACACACACACACACACACATGCTCAAACACACACATGCACAAACACACACACACACATGCACAAACACACACTCTCTCACACAAACACACACTATCACTCACATACTCCCTCACACACACACACACACACACACATGCATGCATAAACACACACGCATTCACAAACACACACACACAAGCATGCATGCACAA